TCAGATCAAGACCGATGATGGCATGACACGACGTTGAAAAACATCGGTATATACCGGGGATGTCCGTAAATCTTATCTCATTGAGCACGCTTGATGCAGAAGGTTACAAATATTCCGGTTCAGATGGCGTTCTGAAGGTATCAAAAGGTTCTCTTGTTTGCTTGAAAGATGATCTTAATTCTACAAAGTTATATGTCCTTAGAGGGTGTACTTTATCTGGTTCTGATTCCGCTGTTGCTGCTGTTACTAATGATGAACCTAGTAAAACTAACCTTTGGCATATGCGTTTGGGACATATGAGTCACCATGGTATGACAGAATTGATGAAGAGAAACCTGCTGGATGGCTGCACTTCGAGTAAAATAAAGTTTTGTGAGCATTGTATTTTCGGGAAGCATAAAAGGGTACATTTCAACACTTCTGTTCACACCACTAAAGGTACTCTTGATTATGTTCATGCTGATTTATGGGGCCCTTCCCGTAAGTCCTCACTTGGTGGTGCTCGTTACATGCTTATAATTATTGATGATTACTCTAGAAGGGTTTGGCCTTATTTTTAAAAACAGTAAAGATGATACTTTTTTTTGCTTTTAAGGACCTGAAAAGTAATGATAGAAAGGCAAACTAAAAGGAAGGTAAAATTGCTTCGTACTGATAATGGTGGAGAATTTTGTTCGCGTGAATTTAATGATTATTGCAGATCGGAAGGCATTGTTAGGCATCACACCATACCCCATACTCCACAACAGAATGGTGTGGCCGAACGCATGAACAGAACCATCATGTCCAAGGCTCGTTGCATGCTGTCTAATGCCAGGATGAGCAAGCATTTTTGGGCTGAAGCTGTTAATACTGCCTGTTACTTGATAAATAGGTCGCCTTCTATTCCACTAAATAAAAGAACTCCCATTGAGGTATGGTCTGGTACGTCTGCTGATTATTCACAGTTGAAAGTTTTTGGATGCACTGCTTATGCTCATGTTGATAATGGAAAATTAGAGCCTAGAGCTGTTAAGTGTCTTTTCCTTGGTTATAGTTCGAGAGTCAAAGGCTATAAATTGTGGAATCTGAAACAGAAAGACTTTTATGAGCAGGAGTGTTGTTTTCAATGAATCTGATGATTTTCTTGATAGTTTGCCCTCATATCATGTTCCGAGAAAAAGAGCTGCAGGCGTATGCGCATGTAGGTGGAGCATGTTGATGATGATGCAAAAAGTGTGGAGCTGTTGATGAGCATGGTGACCATGATAATGATGTTCTTGAGGATGATGCTCATGATGATGTTCAAACAAACTCTTCCTATTTTTTGCGATTAGAGGAGGATTTACCTATTGCTCAACGCAAGTCAAAAAGGACAATTGCACCTCCTAAGCGTCTTATTGAAGAGTGTAATTTGTCTTACTATGCTTTGAGTTGTCTTTGAACAGTGGAGAATGTTCATGAGCCAAACAACCTATAAAGAAGCTATTCGTTGTGGTGATATTGAGAATTGAATTTCTCGCTATGCATGAGGAGATGCGATCTCTTGAGAAGAACAAATACATGGGAGATTGTACCTTTGCCTAAGAATAAGAAGACCATCACTACAAATGGATCTTCAAGAGAAAGGAGGGTTTATCTCCAAGCGAGCCTCCAAAGTATAAGGCAAGGTTAGTTGCTAAAGGCTACAGTCAAATTCCGGGTGTTGACTACAATGATGTGTTCTCTCCAGTGGTAAAACACAGTTCAATTCGTACTTTCCTTAGTATTGTTGCTTCACATGATCTTGAGCTTGAGCAGTTAGATGTGAAGACTGCATTTTTGCATGGAGAGCTTGAGGAGGACATATACATGGACCAACCAGAAGGGTTCATAGTGCCTGGCAAGGAAAAATATATGTGCAAGTTGAAGAGATCCTTGTATGGTGTAAAACAGTCCTCTCGTCAGTGGAACAAGAGGTTTGATTCATTTATGTTAGCACACAGTTTTAAAAGATCTAAGTATGATAATTGTGTTTACATCAAGCATGTTAATGGATCACCTATATATTTGCTGTTATATGTTGATGATATGCTGATTGCTGCCAAGAGTAAGATTGAAATCACTAAGTTAAAGAAGCTATTGAGTAGTGGTTTTGATATGAAAGATCTTGGTAGTGCTAAGAAAATTTTTGGTATGAAAATTAGTAGAGACAGAAAATCTGGTTTGCTATTTCTTAGTCAACAAAATTATATCAAGAAAGTTCTTCAGCGTTTTAACATGCAAAATGCTAAGGCTGTTAGTACCCCTATTGCACCTCACTTTAAGTTGTCACCGCTTCGGTGTCCTAGTACTGAGATGCTGAGAGATTGAATACATGTCAAGGGTTCCTTATTCTAGTCTTTGTTGGGTCTTTGATGTATGCCATGGTTTGCTCTTGTCCGATTTGTCATATGCTATGAGTCTTGTTAGTAGATATATGTCTAATCACGGCAAAGAACATTGGAGGGCGATTCGGTGGATTTTTCGGTACCTCGGAGGCACAATGAGTTTCTGTTTAAAGTTTGGAAGAACTGATAAGGGTCTTATTGGCTATGTGGATTACGATTATCTTTCTTTGATCTGGACAAAGCGAAGATCACTTACAGGTTATGTGTTTATTGTTGGCGGTTGTCTTTGTGAGTTGGAGGGCTACTTTCTGATCGGTTGTTGCTTTGTCTACTACTCGAAAGCAGAATATATGGCTATTTGTGAAGCGTGCAAAGAATTAATTTGTATGAAAGGTTTGTCTGTTGAGCTTTGTGGAGTTGAATCTTGCATAAGTTTGCTTTGTGATAATCAAAGTGCAATTTACCTCACTAAAGATCAGATGTTCCATGAGAGAACTAAGCACATAGATATCAAGTATCATTTTGTGCGTGATGTGATTGAAGAAGGTAAGCTAAAGATATGCAAGATTAGTACTCATGATAATCCTGCTGATATGATGACAAAGCATGTTTCTGTTGCTAAGTTTGAGCTGTGCTCAAGCTTAGTTGGTTTAATTGGATAGTCCAAGAGATTATTGTTGGCACCAGTGTCTTTTCTATCTTTGTTATGTTCAGGATGAAGGGTTGATTTATGATACAAGATGATTTTGTGTCAAGGTGGAGTTTGTTGGAGTTGTTCCAAATTCACTCCGGGATATAGGCTTCGGACTCGTCCGGAGGCTTGGGGCGGAGCGCGAGTGGAGTCTGAGGCCCATCGTCGCGCCTGTGAAGGCTGGTGCGGGCGGAGCCCCATGATGCGGTGGCACGGTATATACACCCTTGCTAGGGTTTCGTGGAGACTTGATTCTCTTGTAAGCCGCCATAGGCGTGTAACTCAAAACTCTTGAGATAGTGAGATTGTTGCTGGCTGGTGCCCGTGGTTTTTCCCCTTCACATTGGAGAGGTTTTCACGTTAAATCGTGTGTCTTCTCTATGGCTTGATTCTTTACTTCATATTTCTATACGTCGTTCATAACAATGGATGGGCGAGAGATGCAGGGGAGGAGACGACGACGACGACGAAACACTTGAATCTGCTGTCCCCCGATCGCATGGGCATGGAGCGACGAGCGAGCAGACACCACGCGCGCACGCACGCTACTAGCTGGTGCCCGTGCCGGCGCCGCATATGGTGGATCGTCCATCGTCGATCGAGATGTTGCGTGTGCACAGCATGGATCCGGCTGTTGCGGCCCGGGAATAACGAATCTCGCCTCACCTGCCGCGTGTCCGGTTGCTGGCGAGCCTCCTGCACAACAGCATCCCAGCCGCGTGCATGTGCGATCCCCGTTGTCCATCTCCATCTCCATCTCCATCTCCGCGGCGGCGGCGACGACCGTGGACTCAGCTCGTCTGCAGCCGCATCTACTGGCTAGCTAGCTATGGAGGAGAAGCTAGACAACACGGTGGCTGGCATGCATGCCTTCTGGCAGCTAGCTAGCGCGCCGAGCTACGGCTAGCTAGCTACGTAGTACTACGCGGCCAAATGATAGTAGGGCTAGCTACGCAAGCCACGCGCGGCCGATCGAGCATGGATCGGAGAAGCTGGTTGGTTACCACCCGGTGGATCGGATCGAATGGATAGAATACTCTGCTAGCTAGTAGCTCAAGCCTGAAGATGCCCGGCCTCGTGTGCCCTGGCACTGTTTACTTACAGCGGCGAGCCAACTACTAAACCGCCCGGCCGTGTACGTGTGTTCGTTGAGTGTTTGACAAATGCGCCTGCAGCCATGAGATGATGATGATGATCAAGCCTGATGTGTTCTTGCCTGGTTTGGCCTGGAGTCCTGGACCACACAGTTGGCTAGCTAGTTTACTTCAATCATATCATATGCATGTGCGATGGTCGTCGTGACGTGCGTGCGTGTTACAGATCAGGGCGTCCCCTGCTTCCGTTGCTGCCTTATTGCATGCATGTCCAACACCTCACCTTTTCTGCAGATGGAGCCAGCATGACACCTAGGCATGCATAGCGTCCGCAGTGGGCGGACCGTAGCCGGTTCTATACAATAAATGCAACGATAGTACCGGCTTCTATACACTGTGAGCTCGAGTCGATGGAGAACCTGCTCCCATCTATCGAACCCGGCTCCTTCGAATAAAGAAATCATGCACTCTCTACGTTGTGGCTTATTTACTAGATGGAGTCACATCATATTTTAGGAATAGGGCCGGTTCGATACACTGCGGGTGCTCTAAGCATGCACGATCCATCGTCCCAGCTGCTGGCGCCATGGCCTTGCATTGGTTTGACTCCAACGGCAGCCGCTGCTCCTTTCCGTCCAACCTGTCCTCGCGGATCATGTCCCCCTAGCAAGCTCACTGCTCACTGCGCTGCTGCTACCCACCCACACGTGCAACCACAGCGTACCAAGCTTTTCGTCTTCCCCTCGGCTCCTCCATATATACGAGCCTCCCTCGCCTCCCCCTCTCCATCTCAGACGACGACACAAACGAACAATCGACCTACCTTAGCTTGCAAACCCAAGCAAGCTACCTACAACTACAACAACAATGGCGCCCAGCTTCGGCCGCTCCATCTCCTTCCAACTGAGCCCAGCGCGCGCCATCACCCAGCCCCGCGCCGCGGCCGCGCGCCACGTCCGCTCCATCAGCCTGCCGCCGTGCCGCTCCCACTCCCACCCGCTCCTGGCGCACCTGCAGGCCCAGACCGCCGCCGCCCGCGCCTGGGCCACCTCCGCCTCCACCTCCCCATCCACCGGCCTCACACTTATCGACGCGCTCCACGCCGCGCTCGCCGAGCTCCTCCTCCTCCCAGAACCCCAGACCTTGGTCCGCCGCGCCTGCGCCTCATCCGACCCCCTCCTCGACGCCTTCGTCCTCCTCGCCGACGCGCACCGCGGGTTCCAGGAGTCACTCCTCGCGCTCCGCCGCGACGCGGCCGACGCCCGCGCTGCCCTCCGCAGGCGCGACGCAGCCAGGCTCGCCTCCGCTGCGCGCGCCCAGCGCAGGGCCGAGAAGGACCTCGCCCGCCTCGCCGCCGCCGTCTCCTCCTCCGTCGCCAGGTCCGCCCGCCTGGCTGCGCTCGGATCAGCCACCGCCACCGCCGAGGAGGCCGAGATGGCCGCCGCGCTCATGGACGCCGCGGCGGCCAGCGCCGCGGCATCCGCCGCCGTGTTCTCGGCCGTCGCGTCCGTGTCTGCCGCCACATCCTCCAGCAAGAAGGCCGCGACGACCTTCGCTGCTGCCTTCGCCAAGAAGCCGGAGACGGCCGATGTGGCGCCGGAGAAGCTTGAGGAGCTTGAGCGATGCATTGACGAGTGCGAGAGCGGCAGCGAGGTGGTGTTCAGGAGCATTGTTCGGACTAGGGTTTCGTTGCTCAACATCCGTACTCCGGCGATCTAGAGAATGTATCAGTCGCCAACACAAGATAGCTAACTGTTGTGTACTATAATGCGTACTCTAGTATATATACTGTACATTGAAAAATAGAGAACATATATACGAAAAAGAAATTTTGCCGTACGTATCGCAGTGAGTTTTGTGGTTTTGCTTGATTTTGTCTCCTTATATACTACTACTACTACTACTATTGTTTACTCATCCGCAGGCCGTTGGAAATAACACAGAAATTAAATTCAGTAAAAAATCATAGCCCCAGATAAAATAAAAGCTGTACTGTAATTATATATCAGGAGGGCATTATCCGACTGTTCATCAGATAAAGAACGAACGTGGAACAATATCATTTGTAGCCGGTAGCTTAAGCTAACGTAGTGACACCGAATGGAATGCTGCACGTTTCTTCGTGGTCCATTTTATCTGGCGCAAGTTAGAATAATATAGTGTACTAGATTACACTTTGATCATTCATTTGTTTTATATTATATTATTTATATTTATAAATTTATAATTATTGGATAATATAATTCCTTACAAATCTAATCATATAAAGTTTCTTTTATAATAATTAAAAATTATTAGCCTAATTATTGATCAAAGTTTTTAAAGTTTAAATCTTGATATATACGTGTACGCCAGATCAAATGGACCGGAGATAGTATCTGGAGTATCTTCCTCACTAAACACACACTCAACTATCACCTCAATCCATGTGCAGTCTATTGTGTAGAGTACTGACCAATAATGGCCACTATTCTGTCGTCGAACCCCACGATCCCACTACCTATGCATTTTAAGCAGTGAGACTAATTGATGAGGATTATGAATGATGTTATACTTGTTGTAAATCTTTATATTTTTAAAAGCCCCTGTTGTGCAGCTTCCTATTGTATGAACTCAAAGAATGAAATTTGTTTATAAGGGGAAAATCAGGAAATTACTAAAATTTTGTTATTCTAATAAGTCGTTTTGATTTTTTTTTACATCCATTTTGTTACGTATCTAGATATAACATATGTCTAGATACATAGCAAAAATCTATGTACCAAAAAACCCAAAGCGACTTATAATTTGGAATGGATGGAATATATATATATATATATATATATATATATATATATATATAGAATAAAAGTTAAAAAACAAGAACGTCTCTAGTACACAAATTCAAAATTTGGGTCCTCCTTTGAGTTCCACAAACTTTGATCCAACTAAACAATCTTGATCATGAACATTCAAAATTTGGCCCATTGGTCCTCCTTTGATCAACACCCCACGGCTATCTATGCCTGCTGTTTAGCTTATAAGCCATATTTTTTCAGTTAACAAACAATATTTTTCTCTCACAACAAATCAGCTAACAGTATTTTCAGCCATAACTTATAAACCAAGCGAAACAGGGCTCTATTCATTCTCATTTGCCCCTGTTCTCCTTCCCTGGTATTTCCCCTTGGTTTTGTGCTAGCACTGGCGGAGCCAAGTGCAGGCGATACTGGGCTCCCCCCCCCCCCTTGCTATCAAAGATTATTAAGGTTTATATGTATATGATTGCAAGTCTAAACTGTCCATCTAGAGAGCTAGATATTCTAAGCTTGCCTTCTTTGCAAATTGTGCATATAAATCAGTAGTTGTTTTATCTATCTTTAGCAAGTACTAGCTGACTACAAAACTATGATCAATCTGATCAATTTGGCCCCTCCTTGATTGTGATTCTGGCTCTGCCACACTATGCTAGCTGTTTGGCTGGCACAATGCAACCGTGCTCAAAACATCTTCTCTACTTCGGCCTAATACCGGAGGTGGGGGTGGGGGGGATAGAAACGAATATCGCTGAAAGTTCGATTAGGATTTTTAAAAATTTGTGATACTTGAACTAAAATTTGAAAATCTTATCAGAATAAAAAACGAAATTACTTGCATATACATTTATTCGAGGTCACTGTTAGGATAAAATATCACGAAATTTTGAGCCCTTGCCCACCCACGTTAAAAAAAGCAAAACATGCTTTCCAAAAAACAAACGTATAAAAGAAATGTAGAATTGGTTGACATACTTATACTGGTCTTGGATTCGAGTTTGTTCTTTTACAGAGAGTTAAATTAAGGTGAAAGAGGGAACCTTGTGTTCCCCACTCACCTCGGTACACTATATTACTCAGAAAAAGAAAACCAACCATTTCTTCGAACATTTGAAACTGGGTGTTTGAACTAAGGAATATAATATGGAGTAAGTGGTAAGTAAGAGGCGAGTCTCAGACTATTCTATTGAACTAGTTGCGAATCAATACAGTCAAATTAATGCATGGACGCCTTAGTTCTCAGTGTCCAAACAGTGTCTTTACAGCTAGTAAATTTTCAGTTTTCAAAGAACGTGAAATTAAACTTACATGTGTCCCCTCCGATTAATAAACAGTATATCAAAACGGGCAAAATAACGGCTACATATATCCATCTATTGACTCGATCGGCCTCTGGCGCGCTTAACCGCGTGTGGATCAGGGTTACAGCTAATAAAAATAGTAACATTTGTCGTCGATGGCATCGCGTGCATCCAGGATGAGAGACATTTGGAATCTGGACACCAAAACCAATCTAGACTAGCTAGCAGACTCTACTCTACTCTGATCTGTATATATTTACACAATCAGCCTGTTCGTTGGTTGGTTTCTATACTGATAAGTCTTGCTGGTGTTGGTTTGTTGTGAGAAAACAAATACTATATCATGACTGATAAGCCCAAACTGAAACCAATAAGCGAACAGGCTGAATATATAGTTTGATCAGAGTCTACTCCACCGTGATTATTAAGAAGCAAGTTCACACGTACGATAGGTATACCTGGCCATGCAGCCCGCGGGCTCGTGGCTCGGCCCGTGGCCCGGCAATTTGGCCCGACCCAAGCACGGAACGGCCCGGTGGGCATCGGGCCCGAGCTGGCCCGGCCCGAAGGACCAGGACGTGCCTGGGCCGCCATCTAGGCCCGCGGCACGGCACGGGCACGCCCTGGTGAAAGAGGCGGCCCGGTGAGCGGCCCGGTGCCTCCAACGGCTAGTGAGGCAGGCCGCAGGCAGCCCAGCCCATGAAGCCACCTCCCCCGCGTCCGTATATATGCTGCCCCCCAGCCCCCCCGATCCCTAACCCTAATCCCACTCTACTCCCACCGCTCGCAGTCACAGTCGTCTCGTCTCGCTCGCTCTCGATCCGCCACTGGAGCTCGCTGCCGCTCGCCTTGAGCTTGCCGGCCCTGCTCCGGTGACCTCATCGCCGCTCGTCCACCTCGACCTGAGTTCGCTAACCATCTCCTCCCTCCTTTCCCTTCCTATCCCCTCTTCCCCCTCCTCCGGTGTACCATGTGAGTTCGTCGTGTCTATCCTTCCGCCGCCGCTCGCCGTCATTCTAACTGTTGTCTGTCTCCTCCTCTGGCTGCCTCCCTGGCCTCTTCTCCGGCACTGGGCTCCGGTGGCGCAAGTTAGGGTTAACCCTAACCCTAACCTTAGATCCATGTTGTGTCTATCCATCTTTCACTCACTCACTGACTCACCCCTGTTCTTTTGTTCTGTTCTATGTTCTTCGTAGGTTGGTGGTGCCTGACGTCGCGTCTTCCTCCTCTGGAGGCGCCATGGCTAGGCCACCAGCGCCAAAGCGCCAGCGTCCACCGTTGAGGGACGGTGTTGGAGCTGGAGGTCAGGGCCGGGGCTAGCCATCCGGCCCTTCATCGACTGGGGTCACCATGCCGGTGGTGGCGGATGTCTATTCCCACCTAGCCGAATGAATACTGTGGTGAATGTGAATATGTGAGCTTTTGTGAAAATGGTGATGAAAATAATAGAATCTTGTTCAAAACTGGTGAAATTGAAGAAGTGGTTCAAACACTCGGTGAAAATCTGGTAAAAATAAGATGTTTTTTGTTATCGGGCTGTGGGCCGGCACAGCACGGGGAAAATGGCCGTGTTCAACGGGCGGCACGGCACGGTCAGACGGCCCACGGGCCGTGCCATGGGCCGTAGGCACTAGTAGAGAACAGAGCTTTACTCCCGGTGGAGAACCCCCTCTAGTCCCGGTTCCCCACCCGGGAGCAAGCATCCGGGACTAAAGGGGGTCCTTTAGTCCGGGTCAGGAACCGGGACTAAAGGAGGACCTTTAGTCCCGGTGGGTAACACCAACCGGGACTAAAGGTGCCTCCTGACATGCCACGATGGCCGACACCTTTAGTCCCGGTTGATAATACGAACCGAGACTAAAGGTTTTTTTCTTTTCTTTTCATTTTTTTGTTTTCTTTTCAAAATAGGTTTTCGAAGTCGTATTGTACGCTGCTAATTATACATTTATACGCGTGTATAGTATGTTTCGGTTCAAGCACAATGAACGTATTAAATCACACAATTCAAGCATAGATATATATATATATATATATATATATATATATATATATATATATATATATATATATATATATGCGTGCGTGCATCATATATATATTTACATGCATGCATGCATATGTGTATTTTACATTATATTATTTCATGTGCATATATTACAAAAGATTGCATTACAGTTGTTGTGATATAGCAAGTTTCCTCTCATCCTCTAGCTTGGCTTCCATGGCAGTGTTGGGTTGAAGTAGAACTCGTCCTTGGAATCGATGACCTGCTCATTAAAAAATCCGCTATAGACTCTTGAATTGCTTTGATTTGGTCTTGCAGTATGACCTTTTCCTCCAACCATCGAGCCAACACAGTTTGAATTAAAGGAAAATAAATTGATATATGTACATATATATATAAAGACATAGTAACACAATCAATAATAATAATTAAATGAATATATAGTGTATTTTTAACGTACTTTGAGTCTCTCTATAGGAGTTCTTTGGGAGACCACCTTGATAAACTTGCAAACATAGTAACCACAGTAGTTGTTCCCCTGTTCCTGCCTCAGACACCACTTTACGAGAAAAAAATTTGTCATCCAATCTGGTGATCCGGTGAAAGTTATATGTTTAA